ACCAATTTTGACAGAACTGAAAAAACAATTTTTATCAAAAAACGTGAGATTTTTCAAGGTTATTTTGTTTCCATTAAGATGAATTTATTCTCACAATGTCAAATTTCACACATAGTCTAGCCAAAGCTAATGACCAACTTCAGTTCTAATTACATCTACATCTGAAAGACTTCAACCACTCAAGAATTAACTGAACTTTGACATTATGATCTACATGTTATAAACTACATTTAGATATTGCATTAATGTTTATATATTGTTCTCTGCAGTTTGTGTTTTATATTAATATCAGTTTCTTGTTTTAAATAAAGTTATTGGGGAAAAAAGAGAAGAATAAACAACCTTCATGCCCTTCAAAATAAAAGCATGAATATGAACGTCTACTTGAACAGCAGAAATATTAATCAAAACATACTCAACATAGAATTTACAAAACAGCCAAACAGAAACAGTTTTGATAATGAAAGAGTTCCTGAAACTTTTAAACTCATAAATTGCTTTGTGATTTGAGGAATCTTCTGTTCTAGGAACAATAATCTCAGATTATCTCCTGTTAAATTCTGCTTAACTTTGTTGCTGCCAGTATCTTGTCAAATCCAATCCCACATTATTTCATTCTTGTGTTTTGCAGCAACAGAAGAGTCGGCTTGGATGTGCAAATGAATCGCTAAGCTAACACTGTGCAGCTTAAGACGTTGTGTCAGCTGAAATTATTTTTTTCTGTCAGCACATCCTCAACTAACCCTGTGAGAACAAATGACTAGTCGAAGCAAAGTGTTTGCTTTCCAAACATAATTTCTTCCACTTTTTTAGCTTAGTTTGACTTTCTGTGGGCAAACTTTTACCTTTTCTTATTACACTGCAAAAACACAGTGTGTTACCAAGTATGTTTATTTTACTTTCCAGTGCAGATATTGAAATAAGACAAAACTAACTCACAAGTAACTCTTCAGGAAGATGTAAGAGCTTGTTTTAAGTCAGTAATTTTTAAATATTTATTTAAAAAAACATTCTAGTTCCATTGTCAGATTATTTCACTCATAACAAGAGATTTTTCTCCTGTTCTAAGTGAAATAATCTCCCAATGGACCCAGGACCTTTTATCAATTTTAAGGAATTATTTGCATAAAATGTGCTACTATATATTTCATGTAAGTTAATTTTGTCTTATTTCAACTGTACTAAGATATTTGCACTAAAATAGACCAAAAACACTTGGTAAGAGTTTGTGTTTTTGCAGTGTAGTACTTTTTCTTCAACATTAAGCAATTATTTACTAAAACAAACTCCTATATTTTGCTGAAAAGTTACTTGTGGGTTAATTTTATCTTGTGTGCTGAGATATTTTCACTCAAAATTAGACAAAACTACTTGGTAAGATGTTCTGTTTTTGCAGTGCAGAGCCTTTTGAATATTGCACAGATACAGCAATGGCTTCCTTATTTCAATAATTAATAAGGATTATTGCACAGATACAGCAATACAGATACAGCAATGGCTTCCTTATTTCAATAATTATAGTAGCTAACTGTGCCAAAAAAAGAGCAGGAAAAAGGAAGAAAACAGCAAACTCTTTCATAACTGAGGACATCTTTGTTGAGTTCTCCCAACTGGTTAAAGTTTTCTTTCCTCAACTTTCAATAGTGAAATAATTTGACAGTGAAACTAGAACTTTTTCATCAATATTAAGAAATTATTTACTTAAAACAAACTCCTATGTGTTGCTGAAAAGTTACTTGTAAGTTTTGTCTTGATTCAAGTGTCCTCAGATATTTGTACTAAAATTAGACTAAAATTACTTGTTAAGACTTTCTGTTTTTGCAGTGTACATCTGATTGCTGCTCTCTGTTTCTCTTCTGCCTTCTCAGGACTGAGGACTCTGACCTTCTCACCCAGAAGGAGAGCCTCCCAGTCCGGTCGCTGGTGCTGGGAGACATTCACCGTCCGGGTTCAGAGGCCGCCTACAGGGTGGGGCCTCTCCGTTGCCATGGAGACAGTAAGTCCAGGGGCGTGACCTCGGGGGGGGGTTGGGAGGCGGGACCCAAAAATTACACTCAGTAAGAGCAAAACTACTTCAACATATTTTAACTGAAGTAAAAGTGAAAAGTAGCCATACAAGATTTAATATTTAAAAATTACACCATCAGACAGACCAAAATATAAAGTTTAGTGGAAATTTTCATATTTCCATTAAACTTAACAAAAACTTAGGAAACTTTAACAAAAACTGCAGGCGTGTGTCTGGTGAATTTTTGGTTAAAACGTTTGGTTTTCATTCATTTTTTCCCTTACTTTCTTCTTCTTTTTTTTAGTTCTTTCTTTTCCATATTCTCTTCTTTCTTTCTTTCTTTCTTTCTTTCTTTCTTTCTTTCTTTCTTTCTTTCTTTCTTTCTTTCTTTCTTTCGTTCTTTCTTTCTTTCTTTCTTTTGCGTCTCATTTGTTATTTTTTTCCTGTCTTCCTCCTCTTGTTTTTATTTTAAAAATAAATGTAATCTGATGATTTGGACCCAAATCGTCCGGTTCTGTTTCCAGCCTCCATCTTTCCATTTAACTTGTTGTTGTGAAATTTAACTGCAGCAAATTAAACTTGCTAATTAGCAGACAGCTCGCTAAAATATGGCTCCCTTATGCTACGTAATAATAACTATCAATAGAAAATGTAAAATAAATTAAACTAGGTGATATATTTTACTTGTGATGAATGCTTATAATTTATCCATTAAGTTTAATGAGTTAGTAAATAAATGCCTAAATATAAATCAGCATAAATGGGATAGCAAAGCTGCTGTTGTGCCTTTTTTCCTCACCTAATTAGCCGAACAGTTGGTTCATTTGTTTACTACATGGTTTCCATTATACAGCCCTCATAATGAGTTTTCTCTTTAATGAGCTTTATTCCAATGTGATATATGCGACACGGGCGTAAAAAAAGGAAAGTTTTGCCTCAGTCTTTCTAGGTGGAAACAGAAAACTGTTTGTTTCTTGCAGAGAACTTCTGGAATGCTGCGTTTTTTGACAAGGAGACGTCGTACCTTCACTTCCCCACCTTTCATGGAGAGCTGAACGCCGACATCTCCTTCCTGTTTAAAACGACGTCTTCCTCTGGGCTTTTCCTTGAAAACCTCGGCATCAAGGACTTCATTCGAATAGAGCTCAGCTGTAAGTGACACCTCCACGTTTCTGCTGTCTTGTTCTGAAACGGGTTTGTGTTGTTTTCCATCTGAATACAGTCTGCAGCTCTCATAGTTATTCTGGAGCTCGACCCTTGAGAGATTCGCAATCAGGTGTTTTAATATTGAACTGCAGAGGAGGAAAGGTCTTCTCTGCTTGCTTACTTTCTTCTGAGTTAAAGTTCAACACACAAGTTGAAGAAAGAAAACTTGAGCCATCCGGGTTGACTCAACAAAATGTTTTCTTCCTGTTTGCTGCTTTTTTTCTAGAGTTAACAATGAAAATGTACAAAATAATGCAGACAGTGCTGTGTCGGTACAATATTCAGTATTCAAAAGGCTCTGCACTGCAAAAATACAAAATCTTACCAAGTATTGTTGGTTTAGTTTCTAGTTCAAATATCTTAATACACTTGAAATAAGACAAAGCCAACTTTTTAGTAAGATATATGAGCTTCTTGCCAGTGGAACTAGGATTTTTCATAAATAAAAAGGAATTGTTGACGTAAAACTGTGGAGCTAAATTGAGGCTCCATGACCTCAATTTAAATTTTGTTCAGAATAAGAAAAACAATTAGAATTTATTTTCAAACTAAAAAAAAATAATTGAAACTGAACAAAGATTTGAAACAGAATTTTTTTTTTTTTTTTCAAAACTATTTTTTCAAGAGTTTTTCTTTTGGCCCCAATTTAGCCCCATATAATACGAGCACCTATTTCTTGCTAAAAATTATTTGTAAATTAGTTTTGTCTTATTTCAAGTGCACTAAGATATTTGCACTAGAAACTTGGTAAGGTTTTGCGTTTTTGCAGTGTAGACAGCAGAGAATAGATTTTTTCACTTAAAACAAGACTTTTTTACAGTGTTATGAGTAAAATAATCTGCCAGAGGAGCAAATTATTGACATAGAACTATGGAACTAACTAGCAACCATAAGGTTTGTTTGAAAGAAAAGATAAATGAAACTGAAAAATAAAGTTCAAAACTGAAAAAAAATGTACTTGTAAGCTAGTTGAGTCTGAGAGTGTAGAAACTAGACCAAAAATATTTGGTAATATTTTCTGTTTTTGCAGTGTAGATGCAGCACTTTTGGTACTATATGTATACACTGAAAAACAGTCATAAATTTCTGATATATTATGATTTTTATATTGTGGACTCTAAAATGCCACAACTTGGAGTTCACAAATACAGAACATTCCAAACTACAAAAAAAATATTTGTCCTGTTTTAAACTTTTTTATTGGAGCATTTAGGAGGGAAAAAGCAGTCGATGATGTCATGCCCAAGGCCTCCGTCTCACGTTTCAATTGATTTAGCTGAAACCGAAGATCCCTAATTACAGAAGATAAAACTGAAGAGCTCTGACTCCGGGGGATAGTTAGCTTTTTGCTGACAAAACATCTTATAAATGCAGAAACTCCCTCCCACAAAGCGTTTAGCTGCACATTTCCCCTGTTCAATAAACCATTGGATATTTAAAGTGTGCATAGCAGGTTTTGCTGCATTTGTGGTTTTGTCTTTCCTTTTCTTGCCTTTTTGCTCCTCACTCTTGACTCGTTCTGGGGTTTTTGTTGGCCTCGGGATAAACTCATGGTGGATTTTTTCTGCGGAGCTCGTAGATGATGTATTGGGTCGTAAAAGACGCAGGAGTCCCTGCAGTTGGGGACCCATTCTGTGATTTCACACCAATCCCAGCAAAACACTCTCTTCTGTTCCCCACAGTCAGATATATGTTAGGCTGAGTTTTAAATCTGAGATCTACTGATCGCCAACCTCAGTTACATTGGATTCCATTTTCATTCATTCAGTTATTTATTTAATTTAGTTTTTAAAAAACCAGAAAACAAGCAACACAAAACTTCCATGCATAACCAAAACCAATGTAGCTTAACAAAACTTCCCCATTGGAAAAGGAGCAGGAAGAAGTGAACACTTTAATTTAATCCTACTCCTTTCCTCAATTTAATGAAATACATAACTTACTGACTCAATAATTATCAGACATTTGTCATTAAAACCGTGTTATGGTATTCATATGAATATACGGAGCTACAGAACCAACAAATATATTATATTGCATATAATTTCTGCATTATATTACATATAATATTATATTACATATAATAC